ATAGTTCATTAATGTTTTGTAGTATGGAATTATAAATATAATAAATCGTATTGGTTTTACTATCCAATTTTTTAATCCTTCATGTTTTTTTAAAATCATATTAGTTTTGTTCGATGCGTTATAGCATAGATAAAACATACTCCCTTAGGTTATAGCCTAAGTAATTTATTTTTTTATTTTAAATTTCATATTTAATTTAAATAATGATATGTAGTCTACTTAAGATACAAATATGAATGTTTCCTTTATTATTTTATTGAAAATAATCCTAATAATTGTTATTATTTATACTATTATAAATATTACTTTTACGCGGTAAATTACTAATTTCCAACTTTTATATAGTATTATATATCATTCCATTAATATTTCGAAACACTATTGATAAGGCAAACAATATTGCTGAAGTTTAAATCAGCTGATGTTTATATCAGATAATGATTTATTGTGAGTGGAATATTTTTGAACTTTTAATATTGAAATCCAAAATTTTAAAAATAAAGGACAAATTTATAAGGAAAGAAGGAGGACGAAGGTGAATGAAGTATATGAAAATGTTATGCGAACATTTGGTAAGATTGCCTATACAATTTATAAAATAATTCATTATATCCAAAATGACAGTTTCTATTACCTGATTGGAATTCACAATCCTTGATCAAATGAAGTAGTACAGTTGATTTTTTCCTAAAACGTTTGGCGGGTGTGTAACTATTTTATGCAAAGAACAAATTCTTCTCTTTCAAGTTCTCTTCCATTTGCAAAGCACGAGTACAGCAGCTAGTCATAAATACAACTTGACTTTACGTAACCTGGCTGCACTTTACTTTAGGTCCTACACTCATTCGAATGAAAATATCGATTATTCGATTGTTTCATTCGATATATCGTTTGGTTAGTTAGGTTAGGTTAACCTTACCTAACTAACCAAACGATATATCGAATGAAACAATCGGTTAATCGATATATTTATCGATATTTTCATTCGAATGAGTGTAGGACCTAAAGTAAAGTGCAGCCCGTAACCTTGTTTGTAGATATACAATTTGTTATGTCTTACTTACCAATCACATTTGTATCCGAATCTCAAATCTCGGGAGTTCAAATACCACACGTTCCTTCACAATCCCCTTGAAACATAAAAGGCTATGTAAACATCCGGAGGTCGAAAGAAACCCTTTAATTACTCGAAAAGACTTTGAAAATCAAGACTTTTACAACCCGGGGGAAAATGAAAAGGGTGTTCTTTAATAGCCAGGGAGGCAGTAATCAATTGAACCTTCACCCCAGGATTAGGGGCTGCGATAATATTTTAAGCATCTGCCTTTCAATTGAATTTTGTGTCAAAGTTTTAAAATATAATCAACACGGGGGTGCGGCCGAAGGGGAAGTGGCCACAATAGTCCTGCATGGTCTGACGCTCATATCTCAGGGAAAATGACTACGGGCTATGTAACATCCCCTGTCGACAATTAGGGTGAGTTATCCCCTTTGTGAGGAACAGGAGATCTGGACCTGGGGAGCTAATAGGAAGTTACTTGGGGATGAGGGAAATGTGTGGAAAATCAAAATCGTTTCCGTCGAGGCGAGTGTGGAAAGATCTGTCAACATTTCAATTCTTGTTATGCCTGACATGGCCGAGTATGGAGTATATAGAGTAACTGGACATCAGGATTTATAGAAAGAAAACGAGAATTGCATACATGGTTTTAATTATTCACAAAATAAAGTATGGCCAATTACATTGCAATAAAAACTGAGTTACAAAAACTTAAGATTTGAATCTAAACAAGTGAACATCTCTAAAAGGATAGAAAGTTTACAAATCTCAAAATTGAACAAGTGAGAGAGTGTTCGGAGAGAGTACTACTTACTAGATCGAAGTATGATGTGAGATTCATTTAGGAGGGTCCGTGGAATATAAATTCACAACCGTGAAAAGATACGTTTAATTCCGCGTTCAATCCATCGAAATGATATCGCAAAACTTAAAAGTTCGCGGCCGGAATTTTACCCCCTGGTTTGTGACGGCACGTTCGCCCAGGGGGTAAAATTACAGGGGGATAAAAATCCGCTACCCCCAACATGTACACACTGTGTATTGTGAAAACTATATAAAGTACGTACACAGTAAACATTTAGTCACTAAACTTAATAAGGAGTACAAAACATTCCCTAATTAACGTCGTTGATAATTCATTAATTATTATATTGATTTCATTAGTTATGTTGAAGTAAGTCTATCGAGTTCACTAGGTTTAGTGACTGAATTTACCTATGTTTACTATATTTATATCCCCCCTACCATTTTTTATAACCACGCTATTCAACAATATTACTATTTATTTATTTATCATGTTTAAATATTGTTTTCACTCCAACAACAACCGTAATTTAAACTTTTGACTTACGTATTCAACATTTCACCTGTTCGTTACTGCAGTCGAAGTAACAGTTTGTAGTACTAGGCGAGGGAGATTGGCCAAGCACATTATGATGTCCATATACAGCGCATGTTACTTCTGTGCACCATCTTATCTAACTAACAAGCCCAACTGACCGTCCCGTCTCCATAAACACTGCCTACTGTAGTATGACTCGGCTCAGCCCTCGCCTCTCGATATACTGCAGTATTTTGTGCTTATAATGACCATAAACATGTGTTAAATTGTTAAATCTAGTTTGTGAGAGGTGTAAATGTGGTTATTTGTTAGTTACGGTGTCGAATTAATTTTTTGTGTTTTTTAATGAATTTAGGAAAATGAGTGACCAATTTTCCGGATTTAGGTAGACCAACTAAAAGTGAGTTAAACTCTTAATTCCTTAGTATTACCCCATGGAGGTAGCAGTATTTCTGTATCTACCTACGTGAAGGGAACGGTCCAAATCCTGGTCTTGCTACTGTCTACAACGTAATGTCAACCATGTGTTAGATAGTATCACTAATTGATAGCATTCTAAAAAAAAGGGGGAGGTTTGGGATTTCAGGAGCCAAATAGTTGGGTATTTTTGTCACCTTTTATAGTATTGATCGAAGCACGTTCTCCATTACAAGGATAGTTATCCTTATGTAGAAGATGTATCTCTTTGTTTCCAAAAGTGGACTTACAGCTTAACTTAACGTACAAAACTTAGCTAAAACCTGTGGTGATTGGTGGGATTTGAACCCCGTACTCTAGACCAGACACGCTGCGCTCTTATCACTCAACCAGTCACGCCCTAATCACATTAGATCAACTTTGTAGGACATTATTTGTTACATCTACGTACTTTGGAGGCATTGGACTGTTGATCTTAAAACTTGTTTATTACAACTTTTTTTTTAACTTAATTCGATTTAACAAGAACTTTTAATCAAACTACTTGTACAACTCAATTAAATAAATAATATAAGGGTCTTAAACAATCAAACAAGCATTTTTTTCAGTAACAATTGAATGATTTTTTTTACAACAACTATTGTCATTAATCTTGATAAACTATTTATACCAAAATAACTAGTCTATAAGACAATTTATGAAAAAAAAATTAAACTATCTTTAAAACAGAATTTCCAATAACACAATTAGACAGTTTATTTCTTACAATGCTTTGGGTTTACAAACCCATCCCATTTTCACAACTCTCTTACAACTTGATAACGCACTTCTATTAATATTTGTTCTATTAATAAATCTTCACAAATATTAGACGCCAACATGTTATTAGACGTTTCATGATAAGTCGTACCTATACATTTATCGTACTTTTTTTATAAGTCAATATTATTTTGTCTACTACAAACGTAGTTTGGAATATTTTTTTTTTTTTTGACTTTATCCCATGCTATGTTAGTCCAGCGGTTTGTTTTCAGTGGACTGTTTGCGTTTCTCATCTGAACTAAATTCATAGTTCTGTGGATGGGTGACTAGTATTGCGAATTCTTGGATTTCAGTTTATTTCCTTGTTGATAGTTCTTAGTCATATATATACTTATTGTTTACTCAAGTTTATTTGTTCGACAGAACCAAATCAATCTTTTTACAGGCCAAACCAACACTCTGAACTGAAGCATTGACTAATAGAATGCTAATAGTCAATGACTGAAGCAGCATTTTGGTTGAACTGAACCAGCAGTGTTGGTCAAAAATTATAATTAATCGTGTTCTTTTGGAAGAGAAGTTTTATACAGTAATAAGTGTTTTAATACTTCAGGTAATTTCGTTTTAATTAACAATACAGAATCATATTTAGTGTGGCAGATTCAGTTCAAATTGCAAATGTTTCGGTTTAAGGTTAACCCAAAAATCGGTAATTTTCGATTACCGATATCTGTATACAACCAGTGTTTCCACTTTACACAACCGACGATTGGACGTTTCCTCAACCATTGCAAATGAGTTCATAAGTTTCCCAATTTGGTAACAAGTGACGGCTATATGTAATAACTAGCTGTACCCGCGGGCTTTGCCCCGTTTAACTTCATAAGTATTCGCATGGCTCAACTCAATCACGTCCTGGTTGAAGTTCGTTCGCTACGCTCACTCACCTTTAATTACGTTTATAGTGTCTTCTACTGTAATTTGTTTTCGCGCTTCTATTTAGTTATGCACTTAGCTTGAAAATATTTATAATATTGCATGGTAGGTTCCAACCAAACCTTAGTCTTTCTCAAATCATTTTTTACTAATAAACCCAAAGAAAGTTTCTCTATACGTCAACCAAATTCTTATAGCAATAGCAGTTACCCAAATTATCAAACCACCCCCAAAGTCATATCTTACAACCCCACCTTCGAGCACTACAAACAAACACATAGTAAAATCAAAATCTACATTTCACAGGTGATAGGCGATCGAGGGAGTATTTAAATAGTATAATGTATTTAGCCGTATGAATGGACCCCCCGCCACCGCTCGCGAGGTCGCCTCTGATTGGTCGGAGGTTCAACAAGCTCCGCCCCCCACGGGGGAGACTCCTCGCTTGGATGTAACGCTCAGTCAGTCCCTTGCACTCGTCAGGGTCACATCGCAGCTTTATGAATATTAATTTTTAATATTTAATTTTCCGATTCCACTGTGTTCATTATATCTCCCTCAGCGCACCGGAGGACTTAGTTCTGGAGGATCGTCTGTCGGTCGCTCCCTCACTTGTGCCGTGGACGTGGTAGCCAGTGATGAGCTGAAGCAAGATGTCACGCCGCAAGCAGGCCAGACCCATCAGGGTGTTCGAGTCGGAGGACGGGCTGGAGACGGAAGCACCACAAAACGGTAAGTCCGCGAAGTGTTGTGTCATGTGAAGTGTTGTGTATATAAGTGGTTGTGTATGATAAGGTGGAATTCGACGATAAATATACGGAGGGTGTAAAAATAGTTAAGTAACGCAAGTATGGTTTTTTACACCACTAAGCTGCGGTGTAGGCCTACAATGTAAAGTAGCAACCAACAACAAAACCGCTGTAAAAATCTACCGGTACATGTACAAATTGATGTGAAAATATAATTATTTTCAACCCCTACAACAGTTTTGCACCTCTCTCTGTATTTAGATTACATGTCCTATTTTGTACAGTACGTTACTGACTGCATTATAATATTTAAAAAGGTTTTAAAGGCCGAAGTAGAATATTCTATAATATTTAACTAATCAAACTCAATGACGTTGGTTACATTAATAATTACACTAATAATCGTCCAAATATTGCAATTTTAGTTTACGATTTAAATTCATTGTTAAAATATTAACAGTTTATTGAAATTTTCTCTCATAATAGCGTCTAAACATAGTACAGTATCACAATATTTACAATCACTAAATTTGTAAACAACTAACAAATAAATAACAAATATATTCTAGTTGATATATGTTATTAGTGACTCATTTAAATAAAAAGTTCAAGACAGTTGTAAGCGTATATTAAATTTCCAATTATATTTTATGTTGAAATATAAAAAAGAGTTTACTGGTTAGCGCGCGGCAATGGCAACTTTTGCCGGGAATATTCGCGAGAAACCCGGCTGTTGCTGGCAACCCGAACCGATATAAGTTACACTCTCGATTTACAAACATTAAAAATAATCTTTGGTAAAATCATAATTCTCCCTTAAGAATTCAATAGCGAGACGATTCTTTCATTGTTTATATACAAATAATTTTATTAGACTTGGCACTTCAATCATAAACGCGTAAACAATATATTTTTGTCGTGTTTATATGTATTTTTTTATAAATAGTAGATAATGGATTAAAATTACCTTCTGCATTTAATTTTAAATTCATATTTCACGCACATAATCTTAATAGCGTTGATCTACTCATGTTTGACATATAAAAGATATAAGAGGTAAAATTATTTTATAAAAAAATATTTTTTCGTGTATTACTTTACAGCTTAATAATTTTTTACGGATAGATTTATGGAATTTAAAAATTTTACACGCATGCTATGAATAAAATTATACTCTTTACACGGACACCATTAGAGCAAAAATTTTAACACCCAAGGAAATGTGATGTACAGGTACGTTCTAAAACAAAAATATGATAGTTAAGCGACTAGTAACACCTAAAATCCATGAACTTACAATAATATTTTTGCAAATAGGTTCAAATTTTCTTTATGCCTTAAAATGTAAAATTAACTAATAACCGTTTAAATCTTTGCTGGCATCCAAGTTTTCTTTTGATTTTGCCTGATCAAATAATCATCTAAAATTGTTGATTTATTGTATTCCCCACAAAAAGAAAAGTTTAATTTCTGGTTTTAATAATCTAAAATACAGTTCATTTCAACGAGTTGCCGACATAGTACAACTATAGGACACTTGTCGATTTGTCTACTATCGTAATTTAAATTGAGTCTCGTTGAATTTATTTAATTTTCCCTCGGTTGCATTTGACCAGTATTCCATTCCAAAAATTCGAATATTATAAGTCATAAGTCATTTATTCAACTAGATTTGCATATGTATATTATGTATGTATATTACGGTACAACTAAGTTTTTTATTGCTTATATTTTTTTTTTCAAAACTGCCAGCATGTGTCAAGAAATAAGACTTAACATACGATTTAGTGATTGATAAGTATATTGTTGCTCACCTGTGCATAATAATTTCATCTGACGTCATGCTACGGGCTAAATGCCTCAGCCAAGAATCCCTAGCATTGCTATTTTCCGAGAAGTTCAACCCTCAAATTTGGACAATGCAGGGTTGTTTTCTCTAATCCCTCTAGAAATATTTTATCCCTTGGAATGAGGTATTTTCTTGGAAATCAACACGGTCGAAACATAAATATAGTTGGTATCTGTGTGCAATATTTCCAAGATAGCATTGTACCTAGAATTTCATATTGGCAAAAGTAAACTAGTGCAAGTAACAATCTGCCATTTATGTTAAGAATTTGGACTATTTTTGCATTGGGTACGGAAGAAATCATGAAATATTAGTTTGATTTCAACCCCCAAAAAACGGGAGCAGAATTAATCAATTTGGGTTTATGTGATCTGAATTTTGGTAAGAACATCCTTATAACGAGGTTAATTTATTGCTATAGTGGATAGATAGGGCAATTGTGTTTAATATTTAACGTTGGGAAGTTTCATTCTAATTCACACCTTCAAAGTAACTACGGGTTAATTAATTTGTCTACAAAGGCATTGCTGAAAAGCTAGCATATACCTACCTATACACTATACTATTGTACACAGTACCCGTAAGAGCAGATACCGTTTTTAGCATCGAATTAGACGTGATCGTGGAACGAAAAAATTGGTCAATTGGTGATATATTAAATTTAAAATTATTAAAGTATGCATATCAGCTTTACTATGGGCAATGGTTGAACAGGCTATCCAGACAAAACGTTTTGTATCGTCTCAATTGTCAATTTCTGCTCGCGATCGCTTCTGTATTTATAGATTTACTCTCCAAGACAAAAGAACTATAAATAAGGTACATTAACTATTTGTGTCGCTGATAATACGCCGACACAACACTGGTACGCTATCATCGAGACGTTGTGTTTTATAGAATAATTATAAGTCGGCTTTAAATTAATTATAATGGTGGTGATGTTGATTAGAAATGGCCCATTTGTAGTCTGGCTTGGGGCCAATGGCGGTGAACTATCTGTTACCTGGGACTACAGGTACACAGGACTAGACGGAACTAGTGCGGTTACATGTTGTAAAGTAGGCCTTTACAAATTAGAACCCAATCGCCGTTTTTTTATATATATATTTAGCTTGTTATTGTATTATTAGGGAAGAAACGTTGTCATATTTTCTTAATAGTATACCAAGACCATTATTTGTCTTAAAGTAATATTCTATTTAATGCGACTAAAGGTATGTAGGGAAATAAATTGCCATTACAGACCGATTGTAAATTGAGTAATCTTAATGAATGACAGTTGAAATACATTAAATGTTATTTTGTATGGATGAATTTAATCGATTTATAGGTTACGGGTGTGCTGTATGACCTGTCATAAATATAAGTATTGATGATTAACAAATAATTAGTACACTAAAATTAAAATAACCACGTATAAAATCTAAGTTGTGTGCACGCGTATCAAAAAGAAAATTTCTAAACTTCTTGAACCAAAACATTTATTTCTGAAATCGCAAAATGTAAATTTACCATGAATGTATGAGGATCGACAGGGTGTTTAAAAAAAAAAACATTTCCATTACACAGTATACAGTTTAGCAACGTCATAATTTCCATGCTAAACTGAAGGTAGATAAATTGTGTACTTCAATAAAATGTTACTTGGATAATTTAGTGCAGTGTTACCAATAGTTAAAACAAAATTTCCCTCCTCGCCTCAGGTTGGTGTTATTTTGTCGCTGGCTCTAGCCGTTATCTATACTTTGTCTCTGACCCCAACTGCCTTGTCGCTTGTAGTGGCTTGTACTTCGCCTATCTCAGACACTACAAGATCACGGCCAACCATCTCCAGGGCTTGTCTTTATAGTCATAGTCCTTCCAGTGTATTGTTGTGTTTTATTTATTTTCTAAATATAATAAAGCAGTAAGTACTGTATTGCAGAAACAGCTTAAACATACGAATTTTAATAAAATAATCAATGAGTAGGGCGAATTCAAAGTTTAATTTATCAACGAATTACGGATGAAGTCATACTGTATTGTAACTAATAAAGACATACTAATAAATAATTAAAAAATTAGTAAAAGTGTCTAGGCATTGCATTTGATGTTTCTTCATGTTATTATTTGCTTTTATGGCAGTTGTTCCCATTAAATTATCAAATAAAATAATACAGCGTCGTAAATTGTAAAGTGGCCAAAATAAAATTTTACAGAATGAATTAGGAATTAGGCTATTACATTTCAGTAATGATTGTAATAAACAACGATTTATAATGTTATAAATTGTTCTATAATAACCTTTAATGTTTTGTTAGAACTTTGGTAATTACAAACTATTCTGATATTCGACATTTAAGTATTTAACTAAATTATTACTAATTCTTTTGATGTACATAAAATAGTGTTGCTGTTGAATCAGATTAAATAATATTTTTTCAACAGGCCTATGTAAAAGAGGAATGTGATACACCAACTAAAATTCCTAGCGCTTTTTTATCCCAGTTAATATATCTAATATCGGGTATCATTATCAACAGCAAAATGTTTTGAATTACTTAGTCCATATTCTACTTACCGTTTTACTCTTTTATGAATTAAACTGCTACCCGCGGCAAACGTTTTAATAAGTAGTTTCTACTTGTTCTTTCATAGCCGTATTAAATCCTAACCTATAATAGATGTCCCTATTATATATTTAGTACTTGACAATGATTTCATATTGATTTATCATTAGTTTGTCACATTGTCATCACACATTCTAAATTCTAGTAATCAAGGTTTTATCTAAAACTAAAAAAAATCTCTCCCTGTTTTATGTAAAAACTGACAGAGTTTTTAATTATTCAAGCTGTTTCAAATCGGTTTTTAAAGCTTTCGCAAAACAATTTAATTTTTATACGGCAGAACCCAAATTGTTTCAAGCTCAATATATATTCAGTATTGTAGTATGTAAAATATTAAGGAATATATATATATATATGCACTGATACAGTATTTCCACATAGTACGCCAGAAGCCCGCGAGGATGCGCGATCTTGTGCGTGCGCGCACACATCTGCCCGTCAACCTTTTTGTCTCTCATTTAAACATAGCCTCACATTAATTAATTTAACCTCAGCTCTCCTTTTGCCCTTTTCTTGTCACTGTTT